GTAATCGGTAATGTTTTGAGGCATAAGTAGCAAAAAACTAACAAAATATTAATTAAAACTGCCATAATTCCTTAACCAGTTAACTAATGCTTTATATATACAAATATTGTAAAATAGTGCACCCATATACTACATCTGAACCAGTTTTTAGCCAATTATAAAACTATAGTTTTACTTAATTTGTATTTAAAATAAATTATTTTTCGCAGACAAAATTAAAAGATTTCAAAAATTTCAAAAAAAAATCACAGGGTACCTTGGGTCAGCAAGGTTGGCATAATCAGGATCCGCGCTAACCATGTTTTTAAATCAAATTTTTAGGCATAATTATTATAATGTTATTACATTTTACAAAACTTTTATTTTATTTTGCAAACCATTATGTAAATTTTTACTGCAATTTTATTATTATTTAAAATAAGAAAGTTTAAAGTTTATAGAGTTTAACCACATTTTAAATTATAGTTATAAAAACGTTATAAAAGAGAAGGAGAAACTCATATTAAGTGTATTTTAAAACAAGTTAATATTTGTACTAAAGGAAATATAAAAATATAAAATGCTAAGTGTTTTATATTTTAATCCAATCAAAACATGCGTATAGATGACTCGCGAATGTTTACATTCTTGTTTTCAAAAAAAGATGCGCATGCATACTTATAGGCAGAAAAAACAAATATTCTGAAATTTTCCAGTAAAAACATAAATACTTGTAATATAAGATATATATATATATATATATATATATATATATATATATATATATATATATATACATATATATATGTATACATATATATATATATATATATATATATATATATATATATAAATATATATATATGTATATATATGTATATATATATAAATATATATATATATATATATATATATATATATATATATATATATATATATATATATATGTATATATATATATATATATATATATATATATATATATATATATATATATATATATATATATGTATATATATATATATATATATATATATATTATATATATATATATGTGTGTGTGTATGTATGCATGTATGTATGTATGTATGTATATATATATATATATATATATATATATATATATATATATATATATATATATATATATATATATACATATATATATATATATATATATATATATATATATATATATATATATATATATATATATATATATATATATATATATATATATATATATAAATATATATATATATATATATTAAAAATTTTAGATGCTTGCAAAGTCCTTACAAATAACAAGGTCCTTGCAAAGTTCTGCTAGGAATATTATTAAACTGTTTTATCTTTTAAGAAGAATTAAAATATTAAAAGTTGCTGTGTAGCTAGTTATTCAAAAAGATGTTAAAACTAATGGGGATTTAAAGTTTAAAGAATTTCTTTGGGAAAACCAATTTTTAAAAGTAGAAGATATTGAAATTGGATTAAAGCTAATGGATGAGTCTAATCCATCTGATTTCATAACTCCAATTTCTAGTTCGATGTGAAAAAAAAAGTATCCTATGAAACTTTATGCAAAAAATGACAATCATTTGACTACCAATGCTATCATCTGCGATATAGATCTTGATAACTAAGAAAATACATTATGACACCAAACCACCTAATATTAAGTCTACTAGTTCTAAATATTATCAACACAATATTTATAAAGCAGAATTTTAAATTTTTTACTTTTAATTAATGCAGCACAAAACTTAATTGAACTTGAAAAAATAAGCTTTACTTGAACAAAGTAAACATACTTCATACCAAAATCTAACATCAGACAAACCAAAGAATTTGTTTTTAGTCTTATCTTAAACAATCTTAATGTCCCTCTTCAAAAGAGTTAAACCTTAGATCACTTGCGATTGTTGTTGGAGGACCATCTTAATATTGTGCTTATAAAGCTAAAAGTGTGATATGTTAAAAATAATAATTTTCTGCTAGAGTTGCTAATCTGGTATTTGGCCAAATTGTTGAACAATAAAGAATAAACAACAAAAAAGCAAACTTGGCTCAGTTATAAACATATTGATACCATTAAATACAGTTATAAATTTAATGATATATAGTAAAAAAACATTAACTAGTTTGCAAAGGCAACTAGTTTATTATCTAGTGGCTGGATTGGTTGTGTACCAGACATTATTATATCAAAATGAACTTTCATCGGAAGCCTAAATGTACTTGCTGACAGAGAATGTTGGTTCCTATTGCTTACTACTGTTTTGATAACTGTGTTTCTTTTATGTAAAATATGTAAAATAATTTGTAAAATAATTTTATGTAAAATAATTTGTCTGTATCTTTTGATTACCATATTTATTAATATGCTGAATAAAGTCTTCTATACCAGCTTGAGTTTTAATTTACTACTATTAATTCACTACATAGAGAATTCAAAATTAAAGATGCTATCGGGACAACATTAAAAATCATAGCTTTTACATAAGAGTATAATTATCTGGAGACAAAATAATCTAGACAGCTTTCTAATGGTTGTATACATGTGAATAGAAAAATTTAATGTATTAAATGTTTCCCATTATTTATATGACTGCACAATTTATAAGATAATACCATGGTTAATATAATAATGAATTTGTTTAGCTTAATATGAGTGTAGTTAATTAATGTAAATGTATACTATCAGTGGGGCCAGCAAATTTTCATGTTCATTTTCCATGAACTTTATAAAAATTTTCTGATTTTCTAATAAAATCAATCAAAAACTCTTGACTTTTGCAAAATTTATTCAATTCTCTGAATTTTGCAGGATATCTGGCAATCTGCTTTTCTATAAAGTAATTTATAGAGAAGCATTTTTTATAGATTAAAAATTTAAATATATTTTAAAGAAGGTAGTTGTTTTAATTTGTCTTTTTTTTAAATTTCTTAAATTTTTTATGATGGTATAATTTTTCTAAAACTAGGTCTTTTGAATATGCTGTAAACTTTCCTAACAATATTCTGTGGATTTGTCACTATGGTTACAATTGGCAAATTTTACAATATAAAATATTTTACTTATGATATATTATAATTATGATTTATTAAGTTGCAAAAGAATTTCAAAAACCAAAATTTAAAAAACTTATAAAAACTTTGTTGTTTTTGTTTTAAGAGAGCAACCTGAATTTAAAATTTGCGGAAGAACTACTTGAAATTTAATGACAAGAAATGCAAAAAACACTTGTTTATGTGTTTTTATATAATAAACTTACGAATGTGTTCTTATAAAGTTTTAATGTTTTCTGCCCACAAGTTTCTTTAGAGGTTTATGCTTTAACATGTTTAAAAATATTGTTGCCAACTTTTGCCAACAAGAAGATTGTATTTTGTTATTGTATTTGCTGCCTCAGGATACTTAAATTTTTATTAGTATAAATAATTTTGTGTAGTAAATGTTATTTATAACCTGATTTTCTTTGAAAAGGTGACTTATACCACTTTCAAAATAAACAGCTCAATTGTTTTTTTTTAATTTTTTTATGACAAACTTGGTGCTAATAAAAAATTGTTTTAAATTGAGTTTTAGGCAGAAATTATATATATATATATATATATATATATATATATATATATATATATATATATATATATATATATATATATATATATATATATATATATACATATAAATATACATATATATATATATACATATATATATATACATATATATACATATATATACATATACATACATATATATATATATATATATATATATATATATATATATATATATATATATATATATATATATATATATATATATATATATTATAACCATACATACAGCCCTCGGAATTAGGAAAAACAAGGCCAGTAATAACTTGCCGACTATAATTTTTAGGAGATTGGGATCAAGTTGGCAAAACCAATTTGATACAAAGGATTTAGCAAAAACCATAGAAACAAGGTTGACAATTTTTTGCAGACCTCAAACAATTTTAAGTCTGCGGTGAGGTTGGAATTCTGCAATGCCGAATACCAACCTAACTGCAGTACAATACAATGGCTGTATGTATAACCACAATACAATGGCTGTATGTATATTAGGGTGGGTCATAAATTTTTTTTTTAGAGTTGCTAACCTGGCTATGGTCTAAAAAGTTGTTTTTTTATGTACTAATTTAGGAAAGTATTTACTTTTATGGATTGAACAATGTCTTCCACCCGCAACTATAATTACAAAAATTAGCAGGCCCTATTATTATTCAAAAAAAAAGTTTTTCAAAATTATGTGATGTACTCAAATAAAGCGAAATTTTATAAAAATTTCAAAAATAATAGTTTTTTCATATAAAAATTATTATTTTAGATTTTATTGCATAATAACTACAGCTTTTTAACTAAAAGTGAAAAAGGTGCATTTTTACATGTTTTTTAAGGACAATTTTTTTCAGCAATATGATTTTTATAAAAAAATTATTATTTTTGAATTTTTTATAAAATTTTATAAAAAATTCAAAAATAATAATTTTTTTATAAAAAATTATTATTTTTGAATTTTTTATAAAATTCAAAAATAATAATTTTTTTCTTTTTAGTACCAGGCTGACCTACTTTTGAAAAACTTTTATTCTCCAAAATATTAAGGTACCGGTAATTTTCCCAATAAAGTTGCGCCCTTTAAATCTATCACAATCATTCTCATATTTGATAGTATCAATATTAATAACTATTAGCAATGTTTAGAGCGTGTAACAAGAAAAAAAATTTTATGACCCACCCTAATGTGTGTATATATATATATATATATATATATATATATATATATATATATATATATATATATATATATATATATATATATATATACATATATATATATATATATATATATATATATATATATAACACACTTATTTTAGTTACTTTTTGTTAAAAATTTTGAAATAAAAGTATAGAAACTTAAAAAACATATAACATTTTCTTCTGGACAATATATAACAACTTTATACCTGCCAACTATTCCTACACAGATACCACAAAATAGGTTTGAAAACCCTACTGTTAGACCTGCTCCAAACAGCATAATTCCTGCACACAAAAAATTATTTAATACAAAGATATAAGTAAGATATAAGAATATAGTTTATTTGCATTTTGTCAATGTATTTAACTATGAAGTAATTTGTTTTTAATTTATAATTTATAGATGATATGAAACAGTTTAAAAAACATAATATATCTTACCTGCTGAATGATTGATCTTAACAGATCTTACATTACTGTTATCTAACATTCCTGCCTCATCAAAATTCTAAGTACAAACCAAAAAATATATACTCCTATATAATATACCTAAAAGCATCTTTTTAACAATTTTTTTTTTTAACTAAAATACTAAAATCCTAGGAATGTAGTATTTTAAAAGTTTCATCAAATATTTGTGGAACTTTTTTACTTACAAATATTCATTTACCTGTATATTACTTGAGAGGACAATAGCCAAAATGATTCCATAAATAGCCACAGCTTCACAGAAAATTATGCTAAAACATAAAACACTTAACAATAACCCATCAAATAATGTATAAGATGCTTGCTGGAACTTGCTAAACAAACTTAATGCTTTATTTAAATTACTATTACAATGCTGGGTTTGTTTTTCAAATTTTTAAGTAAATATCAACGCTTTATATTTTTTGTGATGGATGAATAAAATAAGCAATTGCTTTGAGTAAAAGTAAAATTGCTCTAAGTAAAAGTAAAAGCTAAAAAACAAATTCTCATGACAATTACTAACAAAATTCTCACGATAATTACTAAAAAAAACATGAATAAAGTTTTGCTTTTACTCATAAGCAATTGTTTTCACTAAGAAGTAAATACTTTATGCTGCGACTAATAGAAATCATTTGTTTTTAATTTTTTGTTTGAAAATGGTTGCTTTTAGTGTCAATCGGTATGATAATAATGCTATAACTAATGCAAAAATGAAATATATATATATATATATATATATATATATATATATATATATATATATATATATATTTTTTATTTTAATTCACCTCCTCAAGGCCGAGAAGGCCACTACAGACGAGGAGGCTACTTATTCGTGGCTATAACCCTCTCTCAACTCTATAACTCCGAAACACGAACCTTGACGAACAAGGCCGCTGCGCGGAGAAACGAGTTGAGCGCGGTACTACCAGGGACGTGGTGGGGATCGAACTCGTAACCACTGGTTTATGAAGCGAGCGCTCTACCACTACACCACTACCGCATTTTATAGATATAGATATAGGTATATACAAACCTAGAGTTTATTTGGGAATACTGAATTTTTTTTGGCAACTTTGGAGGCATAGGGGGTAATGTTCTTGAGATTACTACCCCCTTCTCCCCTAGTTAAAACAATCATCCCGATGATGATTTTTATCATCATTTTAATTACTTGTGTATATCTTGTTTAGTTTTATCCGAAGATAAGGAGTTGATATAAAGTCATTTCTTTGAATACACGAATTTACTGGTGGGCGTAACCATCTTACTTTAGTTACGATAAGAAAACTATTTTACTTAAGAATTTAACCACGCTATTTTTAAATAATTATTAAAAATAATTCAAAATATTTTAAACATTTATTAACTATATTTTAATAAATTTAATATTAGTAGTTATTAATGTTTTACATAATTATTAAATTAAATGTTTAAATACTTTAAACGATTTTTAATCAAGATTTACACTACATAATATATTTACAATTATAAAATCGTGTAATATTTGTTAAATTAACAAAATAGTATTACGTCTTGTATTCAAATAATTATTCAAATAAAAAACATAAACATGTTTACTATTAAAAAAATAAGAGAATGAAAAAAAAAAAAAACTTTCTGAAAAAGTTTAGGCTTCTTTTTTTGTTTTTCTTATGTAAACTAAAATAGAAAGCTAAATATTAAAAGTTTATTCATTTAAAAACTAAATTTGTGTGAATACATAAAGAAATTTGCGCGATTGTTATTAAGACTGAAATTTTTTACTTTAGTTCATTTATTATCATAAGCAGTTGTTCACTCATAATTGCCAACAAATAAAAATTAATTTCACTATGAATGGATATTTTGAAATCGTTTTATCTTTCGAAAAAAGCAAACTTTTCATACATTCCATTGTAATAAAATTTTATAATTTTTTAAAATTAAGTTTTGTAACGGCATTTATTTTTTAAAAACATTCAGTTAATAACCAAAGGACAGTTACATCACATAACTACATGAAAAAATAAATTGCTTTTTAATTCATTATATGGTCCTGAAGAAAAAATGAAGTAGCTAAAATAAACTGAAAATTATTTACATACTACTGCATTTAAAACTGAATTTTTTTTTTTTTTTTTTTTTTTTTTGTAATTTTAATAAAAAAGCAAATGAAAAAATAAAAGATAAAATAATTTTGGGGCATTTTTTTTTAGGCACCCATACCACTCCTGCGACACTAAAACAGGTTCAAGTTCATTCCCGACGTGTGTGTGTATACACACACACACACACACACACACACAAATAATTGTAAATGTCTTTTACAAAGCAAATTGCTTATTGTTCTTAAAAGAACAGATCAATAATAAAACAATTATTATTTTTGAATTTTTTATAAAATTTCGCTTCTTTTTAGTACCAGGTTGACCTACTTTTGAAAAACTTTTATTCTCCAAAATAATAGGGTACCGGTAATTTTCCCAATAAAGCTGTGCCCTTTAAATCTATCACAATCATTCTCATATTTGATAGTATCAATATTAATAACTATTAGTAAATGTCTTCTACAAAGCAAATTGCTTATTGTTCTTAAAAGAACAGATCAATAATAAATTAGTAGAAAATTTCAAACTTTTTTCATTTAACACTGTGTTTCATCAATAGACTCATTAAAAAATTTTCTGGAAACAAAAAAAATAGAGATTGCTCACTATTTTTTTAGTTTCAGCTTTTTCTCATATATCACAATTTTTTTAGTTTTAGCTTCATCTCATATGACACAATTTTCTCGTATGTGAGCAATTGCTCAAAGTAAAAGCTTTCACACAAAAAGAGCAATTGCTTAAAATTTTAATTCACATAAAGTTAAGCAATTACTTCATAAGAATTTTACTCAACAATTGCTTTTTTTATTCACCTGGACTTCTATTCAAAAAAAGTGATTTTAAAAATATTGAAAACCAAAATAAACTTAATATTAATATAAAAATAAAATATGTATATACAGACCTTGATTTAAAGCATAAACTGGCGCGTCATTGACATGAGCGGTAACCCATTTTGGTCAAGCCGCTTTTTATCATTTTTTAATATTAAACAAAATAAAAGAAGTAATTAATATTACAAAAACCACTTATAAAGTTTGAATGACGTTTTGATAAAAAGTTAGTATAAAAATACAATTGATACTCGCGCATAAGTTACAAAAAAACCAAGAAAAATTAATTTTTATTATTCTAACTTTTCCATCAAAAATGTCCAGCAAAAGAAAAAAAAAGATGTTATACGAAGTTTAAAAAAAGAAATATCAAAAAGACATATTTATAAAAACATTTATTTATCATCATGCAATACCAAGAATATTTATTTAGACAATTTCTCATAAGAAATAATAACAAAAATATTAACAGATTTTTTAAGAAAATTAAAAAACAAAACCAAAAATCATTAGCTAAAAAACATGATAAAATTAATTTTATATTAGCGCCACTTGATATTTAGTTTGTTTTATTATAATGATTGATTTAATCAAGAAAAAAAAAAGAAAAAAACTTCAACTATTACAAACTTTAAACGAGAACTTATAAAAGGTTTATTTTTTTATAATTGAAAAAAAAACTTATTTATATATATAACTCTATTATTAATTTTTTAGCTTAAATTTACACCTGAAGCAATATAGCTCTTGCAATGTCTTCATTTATATAATAAGCTTTATTTTGCAAAAATTAATAGTTTAGAAAAATAATATTTTATAATAATTACATCAGCTTTATATAATTAACAGATTGTGCGATATCAAAAAAGTGAAAACAGAAATTTTCTTATCATTTAGAAAGAATTTTGACTTAAAAAGTTATTTAAATATAAAAAAATGTTTTTTTTCTCTGATTTTCTTCCTCCTTTTCTATTTTTTACGAAAAATTAAATTCCTTGTAAACATGTTATTACAACTTATAAAACTGCATAAAAAATATTCATAAAGCATACACTTAATTTTTTTGTCTTAAGGCAAGTGAAAGTACAACGGCACATATACTTTATACTTATATATGATACCTCGAAACTTAAATCTTTGTCACAAAAAAAAGCACTGGCAAAGTAATTAACTTGAGTTTTTTTCTTTTCAACAAGCAGGCTTGGTCAGGAAGCGGGTGCGATCACACTCAATAATTGACCACAAAAATAGTATATAGTTGCAAAAAACCGGCCAGATTTTTTAGTCGTTTTGAAAACATTTAAGTTTATTTTTGTTTCCTTGTTTGTCCGCAAAACAATTATTAAGTTCATTATTTTATCGTAAATTTTAAAATTTTGTTTTCAAACTTACACGAAAACATACATAAACTCGAATGTTCTCAAACATCTTTGTGCGGAAAAATAAAAAAGGAATATTATCGAACACAAAAAACCCGTCAAATCTACAAACAACAAATTCTATTGGTTCACTGAAATTTCTAGAGTATTCAAAAAATACTAACCGAATGTTCTAGAGTATTCTGTTTAAATCTTTTTTTAAATTGTATTATTTGAGTTTGTTATGTTTTCGTTGAGATTTCTAGCATAAATTGTTTTAAGAATATACTACAAACAAATTATTATTTTAATACTATGGCTCATTCTTGGGGCCGCATCTACAAAGCTATAAATGTTTTAAACTAACATTATTTGTTTACAAAAATAAATGTTTTTTTAAATTTAACTTGTCAACGTTTTATAAATATATTATAGATTTTATTAGTATATTCTTATTTTATATATATATATATATATATATATATATATATATATATATATATATATATATATATATATATATATATATATATATATATATATATATATATATATATATATGGGATGTATTTTTATGTATGTAATATATTTTATGTATGTATTTTTTACGTATGTAATTTTATGTATGTAAATTTTATTTAAATGTAATTTTTTAAAGCAATTTATGCAATTGATTTTGTAAACAAAAATGCTTTCAATAATAACTGCATTTTCAATGAAATTATTAATAATCATTAAAGTTAATACAAATAATATTAACAACTAATCCAGTGTACCTAAGAAAAAAAAGTTTTTAAGTTTTTAGAAATTGGTTTACTAACTTTAATTATTTATATTTGCTTTAGCCATTCTTACAAACTCGTTATACTTAAACTTAAAGGGACTACCATGTCCCGAGACATGTTGTGTTCATATTAAAGAGAATGTTAAAAAAAAAACGTCTGAGCAAATTTTTTTTGATTAAAACTAATTAATAAATGTATACCAAGAAAAACAAATCTTGTTGTTTTAGTCAAAGCTCGTCTTCTCCATTTTCTGCAGTATTTTGAGTATGTAAAATAAATGTTATTTTCCAGGCACGTTATACAGACTTGATAATTTATTCAAGCGCGTTTAATTCATAGGAGTTTTAGTGCATGACGTAATTGGAAACATTCTAGAAATTCTTTAAAAATTTTACTATTAAATTTTACTAAAATAGCTAACTATAGTTACTTATTTTATTAAAAGTTTATTTTATCAATGGTTCGTTAGTTTTTTACAAATCTAACGAACAATTAATTAAACCAAGCACTAAGAAAAGATATAAAAATTAAGAATATACTAATAAAATATATAATTTGTAATTAACATTCAAAATTTTCACAATTTAAAAAATATATATTATAAAACATTTATTTTTGTAAACAAATGATAATAGTTTAAAAGATTTAGGGCTTTACAGATGTGCCCACTCACTGAAAATCATCAGCGGAATTGTGAAGCAGCTCCGTTTCCTCCTAACTAAGTAATTTTACATTTTTATATAATTTCTATATAGCTAATTGAATTTCTACAGTAACTCAATGATTTAATTATTTCATTTGTTCATCTTACTAAGATAAATTGTTTCTAATGTGTTAAACTTTTCAAACTACACGAAGCATAAAACAGTTATTGAAAAAAACTTTTTTATTTATAAATAAATCATCTAGCATTAGTTTTATTGGTTGAATCTTGTTGGACTTTTCAGGGCCGGGGGCTGCATTATTTTGGTGGCTGTTTTTATGTGTCACAGCGTAAAAATGACTAAAAAAAATACCGAATGGTCCTTTTGACTATTTTGCGGCCCCTAACAATCTGAGTCCAGGTGGCTATAGCCCTTTTATCTCCCCCCCACCTCTTCAATCCAGCACTGGAAATAAGACATAAGTATATAAATAAAAATTATATATACCCTTTGATAAATCGAAGAACATTTGTTTTCCTTTTTTCATAAAATTACTATCATTAATAGTAATTTTATGAAAAAAATTATAAAAGAGCGACGTTTCAAAAATATTTGCTCTAATCGTATTTAGTTTTTTCGCGTTAAAAGCTATTTTCTTTTTTTTAACTGGCTCTCATTGGTCCAGTTAATTTTATAGCGCTTTTTTATTTGTTTTTAAAATGTTCTCAAAACGACTAAAAAATCTGTCCGGTTTTACGCATCTAAATATTATTTCCGTGGTCAATTATCGAGTGCGATCGCACCCGCTTCCCGTCCAAGCCTGAAAAAGTAATGTTTTTGTTAGTTAATAACTTTTTAAAAGTAAAAAATCATAATTTGCGAAGCCGCAATTTTAAGCAATTTTAATTCATTTACACAAATATAATTAAAATGATATTAAAAAATGCAATATTAAATTATTTAAAAATAAAAAATTGAAAGGAAACATACATTCCACAATAGGTACATTTACAAAATAACACTTCTAGATTTGTTTTTCTTAATCAGTAAAATAAACTTGTTTAGTGGTAATAAGGAAGTTTAAAAAAGTTAATGTTCTTGGAATTATGCTAAGCCATTTTTTATAAACAAGGCCTATTTATATATATAAATAGGCCATTTTTTATTTAAAACAAGGCCTATTTATATATATTTATATATATAAATAGGCCATTTTTTATTTAAAACAAGGCCTATTTATATATATATATATATATATATATATATATATATATATATATATATATATATATATATATATATATATATATATATATATATATATATGTATATATAAATTATAGCGTATTCATATAAGTATTTGCTAATTTTTTATGCTTATCTCAATCCATACGACTTTTTACGAGTCAGGTTATTTGTCAGTCCATGTATGTACTGAAGCCCCCAGCAGCAGGCTATTTCAGTATGACATCAGATTGCTTACCTTAATACTATTTGAATATATATATCAACCCTTGGTATTAGGAAAAATAAGGTCGGCAATAAATTTGTTGAAAAAAAAAAAAAAACTGTTTATTATGGCATTAGGTTGGCAAATAAAATTTCACACAAAGGGATTACTATAAAACATAGAAACGAGGTATGCAATTTTTTTTCCCACCTCAAACACTTTAAGGTCAACATTGCCAAATGCCAACTTTAATTGAGGGTTTATATATATCAGGGACGAACCCAGACCTGTTTTAGTACCACTGGAGCGGTATGGGCCCCCAAACAAAAGCGTTAAAAAATTATTTTATATTTTAACTTTTCTTCTGCTTTTTTACTAAAAAAGTCCCGGTATACAAATAATTTTTAGTTTACTTTAGCTACTTTACATTTTCTTTAGAACAATAAAATGATTTTAAAATTTTATAACGATGAAATGTATAAAAAATTTGCTTTTTTGAAAGATAGAACAATTTTATAATATCAAAATTACGGTAATTTTTAACGTAACTTAAATAACATGGTTACCTCCACCAATAAAATCATGTATTCAAAGATACGCTTTTAAATCAACTACTTATCTTTGGATAAAACTAAACAAGATAAACACAAATAATAAAAATGATGATTCAAAAAATGATGATTAAAGAATCATTTTTGTGGCACTAGTTTTAACTAGGGGAGAAGAGGGGGAGGGGATCTCAACCAAATCATCCTCTCCCAATGTCGCTGAAAAAAAGTGGTATCCCCAAATACAGGTGTAATATATATATACAGGGTGTAAACTAGCCCTGTGGAGTCTCGTCAAACGCGATATTCCTAAATGTCTAAAAAATTTAAATTTCTAATTTAAAGGTGAAAAACCCCATTCTCCAAATAAATTTTTTCAAATTAAGATTGAATAATAATTCTAAAAATTATTGAAAATTAATAGAAAAGTAAAAAAAAAAACTCTATTTTATTAATGGTGTAAACTACAAAATATAACTGTAAAAATGTCTATTGGAAAAAATTTCTTAAGAATTGGGATTTTCCCATCGATTTTAGGGATTTTCTTGGCAAATTGCTTGTAAAATTTATTTTTCTAATTTTGCAAATAATTTTTTGCAATGCGTTTCAACAACAGCAACTATTATATAAAAAAGTTAGCAAGAAATAGAGTACAATCTAAAAAAATAACAAACTTGTTTGGTTTAACATCGACAAATACTTTTTTTTTTTTAAGTTTTTCCTTTTTTGCCTGAAAAGTTAATTAACTTAGTAAGTCTTACTGTAAACTCTACTTCATGTAGTACATGTGATTCGTCAACAAAAATATTGAGAAGTCGTCTACGATAGATAATTTCGAAATTTTGATCAGTTACGGATTTAACATTAAGTCTTTTAGTTATTGTTTATCTTTTTTTTGTTTGGTATTTTATATCAACTGAATTACGTGATCATATTGACTAAAATCACATTTTACTTATCTACTATCTTTTCTCAACTAACTTTTTTAAAAGACCTCTGAAATATAAGTTAAATACAAAAAATGTTTTATGATTATAACAAACTGGTACTAAAAATTTATTTAATGAGGAAAATACATTTCTTTACTTTACTGCTTGCTTTTATTTAAAACGTAATTTAAATGTATATTATGTATGTAAAAATATTATGTAAAAATGTATATTAAAACGTAATTAAATACATTTAATAACAAAAATGTTTTTTAATTACAACAAACTGGTACTAGAAATTTAAAAATCAAGAAAACTGGAGTCACTGCTTGCTTGAATTTAAAACGTAAAAGCAAGTTTATATGTTTGAATGAACCATAGCCATAATAATATTTTATGACTATGAATGAAAAATATTGATATTCTTTGTTGCTACAATAGCGTGCAAGAACTCGCGAATAATATTTTTTTGTAATTAAACAACTTTTGTCGTTGTTTTTGCTGAGATTTTGTAATTAATACTTCATTTTGCTTTACGTCTAAAGAAAATTAATATTATAATAATGAACTCGCAACAAATGTGAAATATGAAATTTATGAGCTATTACTTTTTTTATTATTATTACTATTATTTACTATTTTCAAACCTTTTCTATTTTTCTATTTTTAAATCTTTCGAGGACACAATTTATTACATGATGGTGCAAAGGTTCATCCATAAAGAATGTCAAGCAGATTTTAAATAATAAATAGAAGTAGAAGATCATTGATTCTCTTCTGCATAGATTTTCATTGAACTTAAATCACTATATTACTTTAAAAATCGCCATTTAATGCCCACCATTGAAAAAGAAATGTATATTTAAAAGGATTCTCCTAAAATGTAAGCTGCAATGATATATTAAAATTAAAAAAAAATCAAATATATTCTTAATAATGATTAATTTATATACACTGATTATTTTATAATATAAAAATTTATAAATCTTAATATATATTCGGAAATCGGAGCTTAATTTGCTGTGTCATTGTGAAACTACATCTAATTTTGTGTTGATTTTATATTTATCTTCAACATATGTTACAGACAGTATTATATTTTATTTTTGGTGCTGTCTAATCAATGTATGCAGCGCTGCAGTGGAGTAGAAGAAGTAATAATATAAGAAAAGAATCCCACGCATTTCCGGATCATATTTTAATATCAGAGTTGGGGGGGGGGGTAGGATAAGGAAATTTTTTTGACTAACTCCCTACTTCGTCAAAATGCTGTATCAAATTTATTTCTGGTTAACACTCTAATATATATATATAATATCAATATAAAAATCAAAATAATGAAAACCAAAATAATGTTTAATTTATTTAACAACTTTTCTGAACTTTTTAATAACTATGATAAAAAAGAGGGAAAAAAATAAAGAAACAAAAACCTGACAAGATTCTTTGTTTTAATTCTTGGCGCTTTTACACCACCTCCAATAATACTTGAGCCAGTTGTAAAAATTCCACTAAATTTAAAAACAAATTATTAGCATAGTTATACTATTTTGCATTATTGTAATTGCTGACATTTTTATCAAATGAGATTTATTTTGCAAAATAAATAATAAAATATTTTAAAAAGTTTTTTTAAACATTTCAAAACTAAATTTCAAAAACATTAAATATTTTGAAAAGTCAACAAAACAGAGTAGAAATTTAAGTTTTAAACTTCTCGTGTTGAAACTTAAATACCCTTAATAAATAGCTTAATACAGAATAACAAAATAATAAAATACCACGAGTCCTGTAACTTCAATGGAATTTGAATAGAATCTAACATTACAGTTATAAGAAACATAAAAGATTTTTTTAAAATAAACCTCTTACATAGCAGCACCAACAACAGATAAACTGATTGAAAAAGCAATTCCAAGGCAGGCCCAAACAAATGGTGAGATTTCACCAATAAACCTAATAAATTATAATCTTTAAAATCTTGAAATCAAATAATAAAAAGACAAATATATATTTTTAATGACAACAATAACAAATATATATAAATATATATATATATATATATATATATATATATATATATATATATATATATATATATATATATATATATATATATATATATATATATATATATATATATATATATATATATATGTATATATATATATATATATATATATATATATATATATATATCAGGTCTTGCGATAAAGCGTCGGGCGATGTGAATTTTACGTCGTCCAAGAGCGATTTTGCGTGTAGCTATAACTATTTGCATCGAGCAAAAAAATTTTTGTTTGAGTATATTTAAAGATATTTTTGAGCGGAATTTTAATGAAGTAATTTACGATTATTTTAACATTTAATAAAGTATTTTAAAAACCACACGCAGTTGATATAAAAGTTTGAATTACAAAAAAATTAAATATGCTCATTATTTACAAGTAGAAAAAATTCAGATTAAAAAAAAAGTTTAAATCTTTTCAAGCTAACATTTTAATAAAATTATTCAGCAATAGCAAAGTTGTCGATAAAATTGAACAAAAATACTTTCTTTTAGTTTAAGATTTTTAACTTAAATAATTATTTTACGGGGGTTTGTTAGGTTTTAAAATTATTCCATAGATTTAAAAATATTTATTAACTGTTAAACGTATTTAAAGTATTTAAGAGTTATTTCGAGGAAACATTTAAAAAATTGGTAAGCGCAAATAAAAAAAAAAATAAAAAAATTAATATTAAAATGTATTCTACTTGATTCAATAAAAAAGTACAGTTGTTAAAATTTTTGTAAAAAGTAACTCGAAAAAAATTACTTAAATAATAACAATCGCTTTTTTTTTAAAAGTTACCGAAACTCAACGAAGCATGCTCAAGAACAGCTGCTAAAAAATAGAACATCAATAGTTTTTCGAATAATTTTTAATAATAATTTTTAAGAATAATTTTTTCGCTGTAATATGTCTTTTATACCTATAAGATTTTTATTCTAACATTTTATTTTATTTCATTTTAACAAAAATAAAATTCCTTGTAAACATTAAAAATCTATTCAAAACATTTGTTTAAGTTTTTTTAGTAATAAGAGTGATTGTGCTTATTAACCGCTTTATGAAAATAAATAAAAAGAAATAAATATTATATAAAATCGCTAGTAACAGGCTTGGTCGGGAAGCGGGAGCGATCGCTCTCGATTGCTGACCACGTAAATAATATTTAGTTGCGAAAAGCTGGCCAGATTTTTTTGTCGTTTTGAGAACATTTTAAAAAGCAAAAAAAAAAAAAGCGACGAAGATTATTTGGACCGACGAGAGACAATTACAAAAAAAAAAAAAGTAGGCAAATAAAATATCTTTAAACGCGAAAAAATTTAAAGCTAAATAAATTACATTTAAAACAAATATTTTCGAAACATCGCTCTTTTATAATTTTTTTTATAAAATTAAGCAATGTTTTTTATAGAAACATCAACTTTTTATAGAAACATACAACCGTCAACTTAAAAGATTGTTTAAAAGGAAAACAAATATTCTTTATTTAACTAAGTTTGCAAGTTTTAGTTTTACTTAAGCTTAATTTATTTTATAAATAAAAAAGTTAATTTTTTCAATACCTATTTTATGTTTCGCGTAGTTTGAAAAGTTTAACATATTTAAAGCGATTCTTCTTAGTAAGATAAACAAATGAAATAATTAAATCATTGAATTACTATAAGAATTAAATTATCAAGATAGAAATCAACTAAAAAGGTTAAAAATACTTAATGACCAGGAAGCGAAACTGCTTCACAATATCGCTGATGATGTTTAGTGAGTGGGCTTTTAAATTTTAATTAGTGTTTAAAGCAGAAAAAAGTATAACGAGTTTTAAGAATGGCAACTTAAGCAAAAATAATTAGAGTTAGTAAATCAATATCTAGAAATTTTTCTTTATATCTAATTATTTGCTATATATATTTGTGTTCTGTCGTGACCTCAGGCGCGATGCTTGTTCATCCGCGAGTTACTTTGTATGCGTTGTTTGTGTTTAGTAACCAGAAACTTCTTATATGTTTGTTACATAATTAGTTTTATTAACTTTAACGATTAAAACTTCATTAAAAACACAATTATTTTTGTAAGTCTTTGTTTAAATCATAAAAATTGCTTTAAAAGATACATTACGATAAAAAATAAATACACAAAATTACATTTACATAAAGAATACAATCTCTTTTAAAATAAAAAATAAGAATATACTAATAAAATCTATGATTTATAATAAACTTTGAAAATTTTAACAATTTAACTAATATATATTTAAAACATTTATTTTCGTAAACAAATAATATAAATTCTTAAAACAATGCTAAAAATCTCAAAACATAACAAATCGTGAATAATACAATTTCTAAAACATTTTAACAGAATACTCTAGAACTTTATTTCACTTAATCAGCGTATTTTTTTAACCAATAGAATTAGTTTGTTCGTTAATTTGGCGGGTTTTTAGTGTTCGCAAACATTCTTTTTATTCTTTCGCACAAAGATGTTTTGAGAACATTCAAGTTTTTTATGTTTCCATGTATGTCCGTAAAACAAAAATTTTTTGTTTCGTACATAAACTTAAATGTTCTCAAAACGACTAAAAAACCTGGCCAGTTTTACGCAACTAAATATAATTTCCGTGGTCAGTATTCGAGAGCGATCGCTCCCGCTTCCCGACCAAGCCTGTAGTAAAAATATTAGCTATTGCACAGTTTTTAATTTATTAAATTAATATTATTAATTTAATATTACTAGCTGACTTTTTAAAAAGAAAAAATAATTATTTGAAAAATTTTAAAATACATATTTGAGAAAAAAAAATAATCAAGTATTACCATATTTTATAATCTTTTTTAAATGTTTAGTTATGTATTTTATTCGTTTAGTATAGACAAAACGTGTCAAACATCAAGAAAATAAACAAATGTTTTTACATTTTAAAAAACGAAACATTCCAAAACATTTTTAAATAATAAATTTCTACATAAATAATTTAAAGTAGTTTTTCGGTAATATATATATATATATATATATATATATATATATATATATATATATATATATATATATATATATATATATATATATATATATATATATATATATATATATGTGTGTGTTATTGTGTTCATTGTCTATCGAGATAACATAGATAAATAATTTTATTTTTTTTCTTAGAAAATATCAGGTACTTCATAAAATTGATGTTTACGATAACTAGTTTTATAAATAATTTTTTAAAATAAAATTGTTTTTTACTTTTACTTAAATTGAATCTTTTTTTAAACAATTGAATATAAGCACCATTTGTAATCAATATTTAAGGTTTTTGTACTTTTGCTTTTTTAACAACTTAATGTTTTAGTCTTGTGACAATTGGTTTATTAACAGTTGGCAAATTAATCATTTTGAAAAGATTGGCTAAAAACTGTACTTTTTTTATCAATAAAATTTGGTAAAAACATCTTTTATTTCAAATTATTATTTTTTCTAAACAATGTATAAAAGTTTAAGAGATTTTATCTACTTAACAACAAAAAAAACCAGGTAAGAATGACTCTCTGAAAAAAAAATAATCATATGATTTTCAAAATAAGTTGTTTAAATACACTGCTCTACTTGAAAAAAATTTTTTTAAAGCTATTTTTACAGTAGTTCACTATTTTTACAGTAGTTCACTATTTTAGAGTTTATTTTAAAGCTTTTTATAAACAACTTTTGCAGTAATAAGTTGAAATAAGACAGAAAAGATGAGAAAAAATTAAAAAAAAAAAAATTTTTTAATTTTAGGGGTCACCCTTTTTAAAAACTTTTAAAAAATGAAAGGCTCAAAACTTCATATTGTCGTATCTTGTAAACATCATAATATACTTGATGAAACTGAAAATTTAAACAAACTACAATTCTATTTAAATTATAACATTTTTTAAAATCAATTCCCTAAGTATCTTGTTTAGGTTTTTATGAACTGCTAAAAAATGTTAGATCTGATGTAACACTTGGCATAATCTTCTGCTTATAGAGTTGTTTTTAAACTAATTTACCCCAAACAAGGCTGAAAGCAACCATTATTTAAGTTGGGAGTTACCAGAAAACAAAGAGTATTGCTAAAGAAAGAAAACAGTTAACAAGAGACTAGAAAAAATGCAAATTTTATGTGTCTAGAAATTATTAGTATAGAGGGACAGATACACTAAAATGATGCAATTTTGCAGAATGATGAGTCACACAAGAATAAGTTCTAGTTGATTGAACCTTACTATAATAGAACATTCCAGCTTGGCAGCTAGAGCAGGTCCAACTGCATTTACAATACATTTTTAGAACTATCTATAAAACAAAGAGAACCATTAGAAGAATCAGCCCAAAATGACAACAGTATTCTTTAGAGGGATCTCAGTGTGATGAGCATTAATGTCATTAATAAAAACATTGGTTTAAAGATAAAGAGAAAAAGCTTGATTAATTTGATCAGAAGTAACATCAAAAAGAACCTAGAAATGATAAAGAACAAAGGTGATGAGTAAAGAGATGCTAAATGAATAAAGAATACATATAAAAGAATGGTCAGAAGTATCAAGCCTGATTTCATGATAAATAAGTGAATTAATATGCCAACCATGTAACTGTTGAAGTTTTGATAAATTAAGGGATAATACCAATTTATTTTTTTTAAACATTTTTGCTTCCAACAGTGCTGCAAGCAACCACTAATTAGTGTTGGAAGTTACTGGAAGAAAAAAGATAAAGATTGTAGAGCAAGATAACGATTGACAGACAACTTAAAAGACTCCAAATAATATAAATCAGGAAACCAAGATGAAGGAAGCGAATTCCAAAGAACTGATGTTCGAGGAAAAAAACTAGACAAATAAGAGTTTTTGGAGCACTTAGGAACAGTAATAGAAAAAGGATGAGTTTTAATTG